TTTACAAATTCTTCTTTGAAAAAGATTCTATTTCCCTGATGAAATTTTGCCTAATGAAGTGTTGTATTTTCACCTTTAAAAAGAATGAGGTGAATGTTTATTAAACTAATATTGCTTTAATGTACTTTCTTTATATTTCATGCTATGGGCACAACTGTTTCTGCTAATGGCTTTTGCCAAGACACCCATTTACTCCTAATTGCCTCTGTCCCTCAGTTGGGTTCAGCACTATACCTGTTATTTCTATGTGTTTAGTAACATAACTGAAACCTGGAACAAAGCAGGTAAAGGCTTCTCCTTCTAGTGAGAAATGACTATGACTCGGAGGGTGGGAAAACATCGTCTTGACTAGGACATACAAAGAGAAGCCATTTTCCTGATGCTCTCAGAACTGAAATATAGATAATATTTTCTCTGACATATAAAACGCTACAGAAAAGCAGTGATTTCCCAGCTGACAGCAATGCCTGTGAATACATTTCCAACCTCCAACATCCTTTCTCTACACTACCCTATGACACGCCTTCTAATTCCAATCCCCCAAATCACGTTTTCCATTTTTAAAAGAGAACACTGAGTGTGATGGCACACAATTGTAATCCCAGCACTTAGGGAGCTAAGGCAGAATCCTGAGTTCCATCCCAGAATGACTACGAAGAGACTTCCCACAGCCTAGAAGGATATGAAGGGTTAACTTGACTATGGGGTGAACCAGGCACTCCACACCTAACTGCCTGTCCCTTCATCTTTACACCACCAGGAACAGGAAGTATATGTCTATAGTTTAGCTGCCAGATCTGATTCCCTCTCGTCAGACTCAGCACTCCTTTGGGAAAACACCAACCAAATTTAATTATCCAACTTTACAGAGAGTAGAGTGGTCCTGAAAAGACTTGCTGTGCTTTTAGGAGAAAAGGCCTATTTCTTCCAGATACAGTGCTGAAGTTGGCCTTTCTGCCACCAGAAGACATGGGGTAAGGAACCCACCAAAGGAAAGCAGAGCTGGGAGTTGAGGGTGACCATCTCTGGACTGGAACTTCCTGTTATATGAGCTGATGCCTTCATTTTTGCCAACTCCCTTTGGCATAGCAAAAGCATATTCTGTGGTTAGCTCAAAGTGGAATGGGAGACCATGTGTTTATCAGAGTAGAAACAGTACAATTACTTTTAGGAAAAAAAATAGAAAGTTGCAGAAAGAAGTTTCCCCAAAGTTTGCAAGGATGCAGACAGCACAAGTTTTCACTGTGGGCTGAGTTCAGCTAGCATTTCTAATTCATGTTTGTTGTAGCCAGAGAACATACTCTGTAATATTTCATTCTTTTGAAATGGCTGGAATCTGCTTTCTAGAACAGCATATGACCTGTTTTAACAGTTGGCTAACATCCATTTGTGATTTGAAAGAATATGTCTTGGGGCTGGAGAGATGGCTCAGCAGTTAAGAGCACTGACTGCTCTTGCAGAGGACCCAGGTTCGATTCCCAGCACCCACATGGCAGCTATGAACCGTCCTTAACTCCAGTTCCAGGGGAATCTGAAGCCCTCTTCTGACCTCTGCAGCATTGCACAACATGGGTACACTCACATACATGCAGGCAATACACTCATACACATAAAAAATAGTAAATAAAGTATTAAAAAAAGAATGTGTCTTATGCAGTTTTTGGTGTAAGGTTCTATAAGTGTCAAACAGGGTAGCTGATAAAATTTTTCTGATATTCTACAGTTTTCATGGTTTCTTTTGGTTTAGTGGTTTCTTTAGTGGTTTTAATGGTGTCTAGTATTTTTATTTATTCCTAAAATGGTGTGTTACATTCTTCATAACTGTGCTTTGTGTATTTATCTTTTTAATTTTTTTCAATTTTTCATGCATGTATTATGGATCTTCTATTAGACACACACATCTACAAGAGCCTTCTCTTCCTTACTGCATTTTATACTACCAGGAACTCCTTCTGTCTCTGGAGTGTTGGGCAGCTTTCCATGGCTGTAAGAAATGCCAGAGACAATTAACTTATAAAGAGAAAAGGTTTATTTTGGCTCACAGTCTTGGAGGTTTCCCTCATGGCTGATGGGTTCTGGGGTGGGAGAGTACAACATGGACAGCAGCATCTATGGAGTAAAGCTGTTCTAACGGTCGGAAAGAGTAAAAGAGAGGGAGGAAAAGACAAGGGTTCCCAATTTCCCCTCCAGAATATTCTCCAGTGACCTAAATTTTCTGAATGGACTTTACTTCTTAAAGTCTCTACCACCTCCCAATACTGTCAGCCCAGGGCTAAGCCTTCAGGAGGATATTCCAAACCCAAGGGAAGCATTTGATAGTCCTCCTTGATTTGAATCCATTTGTCCAATATTATTATAAACACTTCAGTTTTCTTATGCTTACATTTTGCATAGTCACTTTTAACTTTTAATATATTCTTGTACTTGAACTTGTCTATTTTAGAGAGTATATAATTGGTTCTTCTTTTGTATACAACCTTAAGCATCCACCTTTTGATAGAAGTGCACATCATTTTTACATTTAATGTAATTATTGACATGGCAATATTAAGTCTGCCATTTTCTCTTTGCCTTATTTTTATTGTTCTTTTTTTAAAATCATTCTATTTATTGTGTGTGTATGTGTATGGGTGCATATATGGAGGTCAGTGTGTGTATGTGTATGGGTGCATATATGGAGGTCAGAAGACAACTTGCTGGAATTGTTCTTTCCTTCAACCATGTGGCGTCCAGGGAGCAAGCTCAGGTCTTCATGCTTGCTGGCAAGCACCTTAACCCACTGAACAATCATGCTGGCAAAATATTTTTAGTATATGAATTAAACTCCACTGCTGGCTTTCTACTTACATATTTTTGGATTATGTTGTAAGTGGTTCTTAAACTCTAGGGATTACAATAGTACCTCGAACTCTTAGCCCATTCTATTTATAGCTAATATTGAGTTAAATTAGATAAAATACAGGAACCCTGAAATAGTATGTTTCAAGTTTCTACCCTGCTCCTAATATTTTTATTGTGTATGGATCCATGCCGTATTAAATTTTTGGATTACTCACATGTCTTTTAAAAGAAGAGAATTTAAGATGTGGTTTACTAACCCATCTTCTATTTCCAGAGTTGTGTATTTCTTCAGTTCAAAGAACTTTTTTTTCTGTTTTTGGTTATGCATGCCTCTTGGTCGTGGCGAATTATCACAAGGCTTTCATTCCCGATGCATTCACTTTGTGGAATACTTTCTTAACTTGGCAGTTCTGTTCCTCCCACAAGGACTGGACTGAGCTTATCCCCGTTTCTTTGGCAGCCCCAGCCAGAGGGAAGGCAGGCATTATTTTTTGCGGGATTTCCTTGGGTATTGCTCACCGCTGTGCTTACTGCCCTTGTCCTTGGCAGTTCTGTTCCTCCCACAAGGACCGGACTGAGCTTATCCCCGTTCCTTTGGCAGCCCCAGCCAGAGGGAAGGCAGGCATTATTTTTGCGGGATTTCCTTGGGTATTGCTCACCGCTGTGCTTACTGCCCTTGTGGTTTTCACCTTGGCTTGCAGGGTTTGAGTGTGGCAGGTCAAGGAAGGTTTTAAGCTTTACTGTGCTTGAGGTTTGTTGAACTCAGCCCTATAAATTATTGTTTTCAACCAATACAGCGCCTTGGGGGGTATTATTTCTCTAAATACTATTTTTTTCCATATCTGTCTCGTACTGCGATTCTATTATAAATTGGACAACACACATTGACACACGTCTGAGTTTTTTGTGTTTGTCAATCTTTTTATTTCTGTATCTAGCACCGACCGGGTAATTTCTATGAATTTACTCCCAAGTTCACTGACTTTTTTTTTTTTTTGGTATGAATCTTTTTTTATTTAAAACAGTATTTCTCACCATTCTCAATCATTTAAGTTTTTTAAAAATTGCCATTGAACCTATGTCCTTGAGGAAGGGCTGCCTATTCGACCACCGGAAGTCTTGGCTGACCTCTGTTTTCCTCAGGACAGCAACCCCGAAGCGCCTGGGCAGAGCCCGGCGCGCCAAGCCCCGCCCCTTCCGGCGGCGCCCGAAGTTCGCGCTTGTAGCTCTGCCTCCGACGCAGCGAGTCTCCAGATTCCCTGGGATTCGCGGGACTCCGTTTCCGCCGGCGCGCTGACGTCACAAGTCGTGCGCCTCCTGCGCCTCTTCGGGCCTGCGCCGCGGGCGGGCGGAAGGTCGTCCCTGTGACCGCCGGTGGTTGGAGCCGCTGTCGCCATGTTGTCGGTCGCCGCCCGCTCGGGCCCGTTCGCGCCCGTCCTATCGGCCACGTCCCGCGGGGTGGCGGGCGCGCTGCGGCCCCTGGTGCAGGCTGCGGTGCCCGCCACCCCGGAGCCGCCGGTGCTGGACGCCAAGCGCCCCATCCTGTGCCGAGAGTCGCTGAGTGGCCAGGCCGCGAGCCGGCCGCAGGTCGCTAGGGTGGGCCTCAATGGTGAGCGGGGTTCCGGGGTGGCTCCTTCCCGCTCTCCGCGGCCCCAGGCCCTCGTGGGGTTCGGTCCGGCCGCTGCGCCCCCTTCCCGGCCCGGGAACGGTGTGAGCAGTTACGCCGCGCGGTGTTGCTCGGGCCTCTGGGGCCCCTGTGGACCGCAGATTAGACGGCTCAGGCTACACTTTAGCTCGAGGGCCAACTTCACGACCGGCCTCCTCCTTTCCAAAGTGCCAGAGATGCTGTTGCTTATACAAATTGGACCTTGGGCAAGTTTACAAACCCCGTTGAGGTGAATTCGTGGTTACGCCACTTTTGTAAGGTGTAGTGAGGCTTACTGGAAATAATTCCGAAAAGTCACTGCTGGGTCAGTTCAGACGGTGAGTAGGAATAGTCACTGTAATATTTAAGAATTTCCCGCGTCGCCAGCGCAGGTGCTTTACAGTATCTTTCCAAGGACGTCTGTTCCCATTCCCACTAGACAGAAAGCAGCGGCAGGCCCCGAGGTCAGATCCATTGTAGAGGGGAGCAGTGTTTCCAGGCACCGGGCCCTAGGGCCTTCAGAACCACACTGAATCCTGAAGGACGACAGAGGTCGATGATGTTCTGTTTCACAGAAAACACCTCACTGCGCACAAGGATGCACTGTGGGGCTTCTTGGCATGGGGTCTGCCTGCGTTATTTACACCCACTATCTGCAGATCTGTGCTTTTTCTGGTGTTTTTCCTTTCGAGTGCTGTGTTTTGGAGCGGGAAGTGGCAACATGGAGGCAGTATGCCTATAGGCTGACTGTTTGGGGTTAAAGAGAAAGTTAGGAGTTCTGTGCTTTCTGCAGTATGAGAAGCTGCACTGGGCTCTCTGATTTCTACAGTCCCATAGTTGGCTGTGCCCCACCTCATAGTCGCCACAGTACTTTGTTGTGTTACCTACTTGGCTCTGTTTACTGTTTTTTTGTGATCTTCTACATGCTGATCAAATTGTTCCCCTGGGCAGCTTTTTACTTTCTGTCCACCCCTCTGCCCTGAAGGGTTTTTTGTTTGTTAGTTTTGCTTTCTTTGTGTCAGGGTCCCACTATGTAGTCCATGCTGTCCTCAAACTCATGGTCTTCCCGTCGCAGCCTTCCCAAGCCTGGGATTATAAGCATGAGCCATCATACCTAGGCTTCTTCTGCAGAATTAATGATCTTCCCCTTCATTGCGTTTTCTACAAATCCAGGACTTAATTAGCCTTTCAACCTTAATTTGAGATCAGGTTAATAAAATTCTTGTTTGCTGAGACTTGTATGTCTTTATGGCCTATGACACTTCCATTCTGATGTATATTGTGTTTGTTGGTGATTCCTCTGACCTTGATCTTAAGGGTATAGAATACCTCCACAGTCTCAGATTTTTGTGTACAAATGATACAGGATATTTTTTGTGAATAAATAAGGAACACTGCTGGGTCTTGGAGAAACTGTTAGATCAAAGGTATAGTACCAAGTCAGAAGCATAGTACCCTACCCTAATCCAGGCCTATTCTTGTGATCAGGAAGTTAGAAATGATGGAGAAAATTGCAGTACCAAAAGTGAAAAGCATCACTGGAGTTTGTCAAATGCCTGGAAGGTTTGTTATAAAAAATGAGTGGCTTTCCTGTGTTACAAAAGCATGTTAAAGCCAGATAAATAACATAGACCCACAGAGTCAAAACCTTTTTATATGAGCACACTTTAGTTGTACCTTAATTGCACATTAAAATCCATCTAGGACGTTTATGGCTGTGTGGGTGGGGTTAGATCTGAGGGAGAGTAAGTTTGCAAGATGGTATCATCTTTTTCACTACAGATTTCTAAAGGCATATTGGCTCAATAACTACAAAAAGATTACAGGCCTTAGATTTTGTTTTTAAGGTTCTTAAAAATTTTTATGAATGTTTTGCCTTCCTATATGTGTGTGCGGTGCCCAAAGAGGCCAGAGGAGGCCATGGGATTCCCTGGAGCTTAGCTATCATGTGGGCTCTGGGAACTGAGCCCGGATCCTCAGTGACAGCAGCCAGTGCTCTTAACTGCTGTGCCATCTTTCCAGCTCTGAGATTTTATCTCTAGGTGGGGTTTCTGTTATTGATCTTGTTTAAAGTTAGAATTACATTTAGCCTCATTGCTTAATGTTGCTTGTGCAAAATACCTAGAGAAGGATTTTTTCAACATGACAAGTTCCTAAAGGTTTGTTGGTGATGTAACAGTAGACTGTGGCTTGCTATATAGACAACAGCAGATAACTAGATTCACCAAACCTTTGCATGAGAATGACAGTCATTCTCTTTAATGTTCTTAGTTACTTTGTATTCTTTTAAGGGTAGATGGTTTGAATATTGTTAAATGTAGAACTGTGAACTTGATTCTTTTATGTTTTAGGTATAGAACACATTTCTTGAGTGTATCCCCAGGCATTGTCATGGGAAAGTAATTCATACTTGATTCTAAGTGCCATCCTATACTGTCCTGTTGGCATTAGGTAGAATAATATGTGATGTAATGTCACTTTGATTCTGCAAAGTTGTAATTGTGAGTCTTGGGTTGCCAGTACCTATGTTTTAGTTACTTCTAAAATAACGATAGGATTAGTCAGAAAAGGACAGAGTAAGCTTGGTAGGTTTCATCCTTGTTCTTGAGTATTGATGACTTCCATAAAGTTAGTCACCTTGAAGTCACGTGAAAAGTAGTTGATATATTAGCATTTGGCTAAGACACCCCTGAAGCCCAAAGTAGCATTTTAACTTACAGTAACATTGTAATTTATGAGGTCTATCTCTTTCTTTCTTTTCTTTCTTTCTTTCTTTCTTTCTTTCTTTCTTTTTCTTTCTCTTTCTTTCTTTTTCTCTTTCTTTCTCTTTCCTTTCCTTCCTTCCCCATTTTCTTGCTTTCTGTGTCTGTGTGTAGGTGGGGAGGGGTGTGCAAGTGCCTGTGGGCAAATGCAGAGGCCAGAAGAGGGTATCAGACACCCTCCTCTATCACTCTGCCTATTCCTCCAAGAATACTGGGAGTTTTTCCCTCACATTTTCTTGGCTAGGCTGGAAGTCAGCAAGCTCCATGAATCCTCATGTTTCTATCCTCCCACCCTTGAAACTGGAGTTATAGGTGTGTTCTGGATGTCTTCTTTTTTCTAAATAAACTTGGCAAATGTCCAAAAACAAGTATATATTATATATATATATATATTTTGTGCTTCTGAAACATATGCGTTAACACCAGTAAGTTCATTTTTGTTAGACATTTACAAATGGTGTGAGGGTGTTCTGTTGCTCCTTAAAAAAATAAAAATACTGTTTCCAAACTATGTGTAAGCAATATTTTTTAATGTTTTCTCATTTGTCACAAACATTTGGCCTATTTTACTGCCTATAGCAAGTGTCCTTGAAGGTCCCACAGTAGGAAAAAAGAAGATAATGTTTTTTTTTTTTTTTTAATAGAGACTGTTGCCCTGCCACTGAAAAGGGAGATACATGAAATTTTTTCTTTATTCTCCTTACTAAGTTGAATAATTATTTTGCAGGTTTCATTGAGTGTTGCCTGTTCTTGTTTGTCCTTCTCTGACCATCAGTGGTTTTACCTGAAGGTCCTATTTTACACCCTAGAATCTGAAACAGAAATCCTTAAGTTTTCTACAACCAAGATATACTAACAAATAACAGAATGTTTATTATCATGTCATTAGTGTTTTACAAATTTTGGCCGTTCTTCCAGAGAAAGCAGAGATGGAAGTTTAGGCATCTGCCTTAAGAGGAGCACACATAAACTTATCAGGTAGATGAGTTTTGATAATCCAGACAATATGAAAAGTAATTACATTGCTATATAGTATGTCCTAGTTGTTAAATATTGCTGTTGTCCTAGTTGTTAAATATTCTGCTATTTGCCTTTTAACTCGATGAAATGTTGCATAACCCCGGTCAGCTGTATCCACCCAAGCAGGAGGAGTTTATTTTTTAAGTACTGTCTTGTGATTTTATCCAGTAGGATGGGTGGTAGTGGACTTCAGCTCATTTTTAGTATTGGAGATGTTGGTTGCCACTGCCAGTATGTTTCTGAGAACATGTTTTTAGAAATGGATTTTTTTTTGTGAATCTGTCTTGGCCGATGTACACCCTTCCAGGGTGCTCATCTAATAGTGCTTTACACCTCTGTTTGTCTTGCAGTTCCTGCTTCTGTTCGTTATTCCCACACGGATGTCAAGGTGCCTGACTTCTCTGACTACCGCCGCTCCGAAGTTTTAGATAGTACAAAGTCTTCTAAGGAGAGCAGCGAGGCTAGAAAAGGCTTCTCGTATCTGGTGACTGCAACTACTACCGTGGGCGTCGCATATGCTGCCAAGAATGTGGTCTCCCAGTTTGTGTCCAGCATGAGCGCTTCTGCTGATGTACTGGCCATGTCGAAAATCGAGATCAAGTTGTCCGATATCCCAGAAGGAAAGAACATGGCTTTCAAATGGAGAGGCAAACCTCTATTTGTGCGCCATAGAACCAAGAAGGAGATTGACCAGGAAGCTGCAGTTGATGTGTCCCAGTTGAGGGACCCACAGCATGATTTAGAGCGAGTAAAGAAGCCTGAATGGGTTATCCTGATAGGAGTCTGTACTCATCTTGGTTGTGTACCCATTGCAAATGCAGGAGATTTTGGTGGCTATTATTGCCCTTGCCATGGGTCGCACTATGATGCATCTGGTAGGATCAGGAGGGGCCCTGCACCTCTCAACCTGGAAGTGCCCACCTATGAGTTCACGAGTAATGATCTAGTGATTGTTGGTTAGAGACTTAGACTTGGCCAGGTTTCTTTCAGTTCATGTTCTTTCAGAAGAGTTGAGAGTAAGCCTTATGTACTTCCAGCTTGTTGATTTAAAATATTTAAGATTTGTTAATAATGTATTTGCAGACATTAATGTGAATTAAATTCAATTCACTGTTAAATATTGTCAGGCATTCACTTAATAAAGCCACTGATAAATATCGTTAAGTTCAGGCATAGATTTGAAAGGTGCAATGTCTTTGATAATTCTAATAAAAAAATTACAGATTGATGTGCAAGGTATTTGTGCAATCTATAATTGGCTTTCTCGTTTATTTTCTTATCCAAATATTTGTTTCTTGCTTTATATTTACTATATAAATTCTACAAACAGCTATTTGGATGAGGCAAAATTAGCTGGTCATCTTAAGTCTAGGACAGGCTTTCCCTTTTATCCACAGGACTCAGTCCTTTTGACTTTTTCTCTGCATGCTAGGGTGTGTAATGTTGAGTAGAGTCTTTGGCAAAGACTCCTGAAAGAGGCATTAGCAGCATTAAGGATTTATCTCTAGGTCTGGATAGCTACTTTCATGTCCATGTGGCATGGTGTTTGTTCCCACTTGGGAGTGTTCCCACTTGGGAGTGTGTAATGTTGAGTAGAGTCTTTGGCAAAGACTCCTGAAAGAGGCGTTAGCAGCATTAAGGATTTATCTCTAGGTCTGGATAGCTACTTTCATGTCCATGTGGCATGGTGTTTGTTCCCACTGGGAGTGATTGAGTACATTCTTTAATAAGAGGCTGGTGCTCCAAGACACCCTGATCTATATAGTGAGACCCTGACTCAAGCAAAACGGAAAAATGTGGCAGTGGTGGTTTATTACTGAAACAGGCCTTTCAGAGTGCTCCTCTGCGTGCTGCCTATCAGAGTTCCCACTGCTCCTGCATCTACCCAGCCAAGAGGCAGGTAGATAGCATCTGACAAAAAATACTGTTTTTTTCTGGAAATGCCCCTACTGGGTTAGTTTCCATGGTGATTACATCCTGAGGTATTTCTCCCACTTGGATTTACAGAGACTATGATGTGGGTACAAGAGTACTTATCAAAATTACCAGTCTTTTCTGCCTTCTGCCTAGTTGTGTCCTGGCATAAGCTGGTTACACAAAGGAGACAAGACTGACTCTTGGTAATCCCTTAGGGAATGGACTGGGCCTTGCCCTTTGTTGAGCATCACAGCTACATGTTGATGGATTTGGCTTGGCTTTCTTTGCTGCTTGGAAGGGAAGTCAATAAGATATGTTGTACTCTACTGGGTCTACTTTGTGATCATGTGCATTTGTAAAACAGCAAACTAGATTAGACTGGTCCTTTCAGAAGGAACTGACCATCCAGGGTTTTAGTCTTTAATAGTTAGAAGTTTGTTTTAAAAAGATGCCCATTTATCAAGTATGATACTTAGTAGGACATACGTGAGTTATCTTATATTCTAGGTCTCCAGGTAGAGAGAGTTCCTGGACCTAGGAAATGAGGGCAGAGGATGACTTCAGTTGTGGGGAAGACTGAGAAACCTGTGTGGGCAGAGAATCTCAACAGTACCCTTGCCTTGAACCTTGAAATAGCTCATATTTCTATTTTGACATGTCACTTAGAAGTTTGTATCACATGCACTTTGAATTGCTGTATTTGGTGGGCTACTTACATGAGTTTCATAATGGCATGCTTTCAAATCTTAGCCATAAGGTTTTAAAGGAAGGCTTTATTCCACAGAGGAAGGACAATTTAGGTTACATGGTACCACTTGTTAAGTAGAGAGCGCAGGCCCAAGTCAGCTTTTTGACTTACAGAAACTGTAAGAAGGAATGACAGTGAAATCGGACCAGTTGACTTTCTGACATCCATCCTTTACATGTATCACTTTCTATTGAAGGTAACTTTTGAGGTTATCTTGGTAGCTTTTTTAATGTGTTAAAAATAAGGTTAAGAAAGGCTTTTCAAAAGATACTTTTTTTGTAGAAAAAGTTTACTTTTGGTCTTTATGAATGTACCTTTATAAAATGTTTCACTTGCGTATTTAAAGGGCATTTGTCCTTGGTATTTGTGGCTTGGGATCAAAATGGGCTCTTAAGCATATATGTTTTCCTAAATATTTGGATCTTACTCTTTAGAAATCAGAAAATTGTTCATTTTCATTTGAATTTTCCTGCATTTTAACCCAGAATAATTGTCAGTAATTTTTAGAATGTTCTTGGATCAAACACACATTTGTTATCACTGTTTGCACCTGACGCCTCCACACCATTTCCTGAGGTTGCTTTTTGTTGTCAGCTGCTCACTAGCCTGTGCGGATACCACATGAACACTTTAAGAAGGACCCTTTGTTTCCCACAGGCCTTAGGAAACGCATCTGTTTCCATAAGCTGGATTTTTCACCATAGTTGACGCTACTGAGTGATCTTTCTAGGAAGCTGAAGCTCTGCTATCTTGGGTTCAGTGACAGCGCACTTGCTGGGAGTCCACCAGTGAGGAACTCGGGGGCATGTGGCTCAGTGGTACATTGTTCATACCAGCATGTAGAAGGCCCTGGGACACATGCTCCGTATGCTCCAACCAAAACCTTGCTTGTCTTCCCTGACCCACTTTCCTATTCCTTTCCCTAGGCCAAGTCAGTCACCAAGCTCTGCTGATTGTAATCTCCTTGACATAACATCCATTACTTATTCCTGCTCACTGGACTAAGTGTTCAGCGTATATGAGCTCAGCCCTCAAAAGTCCTGTCAGATTATATTGGTATGCCTAGATTGTGAGAAAGCAGGTGTGTAGTTTTGTCACAGTCAACTTCTTAGGTTGATGTAAAACTATTTTAACCCACGGACTAGAGCCCACAGCCTGTAGCCTACTCATCAGCCTGTCCTGCTAGCACTTAAAGTTGAGGCATCCTTATTTCTTGCTTGCATTTCTTAAGATTTCTGTCACCTATTTCCTTTACTCTTGCCCTGTTAAAATCTACCTTCCACAGAGCTGCCAAGCAATACAGAGGTGACTGACCAGGGTTCTGTTCTTGGCCCTCCCATTTTCCAGAAGTGTAGCCTCATAAGGTACGTGTACCTCTTCCCACCTCTGAAAAATAGTAACCTCTTGGGATGGCTTTAGGAATTGATGCATTAAATTATGGCCAGGGGTGATACTAAAATGGGGGAACCTCCACAAGGTCCTTTCCCTGCATCTGGTCAGTGGATTCCTGGCTTCTGAAGCAGGGTGCTTGTAACTTGCCTTCAGTTTCTTCCCTCGTATCCTTTCTGCCTGCTTCCCCTTCTCTTAGTTGTGGTTCTCTTCCTGCCCGTCAAAAATCTTAGGTGAAACCACAGGGAAATTTTCCTGCATTATACTAACTTTGCCATCAAAATTTCCAAAAATAGCCAGGAAATATTCACATCCTTATTTTCCTATTTTGTCTCCCACTAGACAGAGGAGCCTGTATCATGATATACTTAGTTCTTGAGTGCTGAACAGGTGGGAGTGGAAAGTGAATTCTGATCATTTGAAAGGGATATTTTCCAGGAATTAATTTGTAAATATCAGGCTTAATATTTAAAGGTAGAACAGAACAATTACTACATCTGTTTCTTGTTTTTCTAAGACTAGGTCAGAAAATTGCAAAGTATAGGATATTTATGATTTAGATTTGTTCTAGAAAAACATTAATTCATTATTTTAAAGTGAAGTATATGTTAATTTCTATTTGCTTTATAAGGAAGGTTCTGCCCATGTAAGGTTCCAGTGTCTAAAGTTCTGTCCACTAGTGTTGTATTCCTAAACTTTTAAGTGCCTTGAGCACCCTTCATTACTTCTGCCATTTCTTCTCTCACTTCTGTTCTACCATGGGGTTTAGGAACATCTTGATTAGAGGGAAAAATATCAAGCAGGTAAATTGACAATTCTCCGGGATAAGACGATCAAGGATTATTTTTTCAGTGTTCATCATCATTTATTGGAGGTTGAAAATATTCTCAGCATAATACTGCCAGAAATGTGAGGTGACCTTATGTTCAGACATTACAAGATACCTAAATACATTACAGAAGGAAGACCGAAAATCAAGTGACTCTGAATGCTTATAACATAGATTATTATGGATTTGAAACCGCTGGTCTGAAACATGAGATTAAGACTAATTTTTGAATGACTTCAATATTTTTTAAATGACCTTTCCAAAATGATGAACATAAGACTGGTCCATCAGTGAGCTGAAATACCAAAATATAAATTATACTTTCTATTTTTCCTAAAACTTGGGTTAGTTTGCATGTAAGGCTTAGTCATTTGACTTTTGAAATTCTTATTTGATTTGGAATATTTGCAAATGAAGTGAAAATAAAACTGAGTAAGAGATTTTCATATATGTGTGAAAAGGCAAGCTGAACCTTGGCTCTTTATTTAAAGAGTGGAAAAGCTAGTGCATTTCACCAAATTGTTCTTTCTAGCCTGAGTATCTCAAATATCAGTTTCTCTATCTTACAAGGCAGAAATTTCAGCTCATTTGTCTGGTCTCTGACCCCCCTGCTTGACCACTAGGAGAAGTAGCATTCTGAGGGCCCCAGATCATCTCAGTACGTGAAAATTAGGTACCATAGTCCTCAGTAAAAGGTTTTCTGTTAGAGCTTTTAAAATAAAAATCTCAGGTGAGATTATTGGGCTTAAGGAGATATACACTGCTTGACACTAAGTATTACCTGGCATTTAGAAGGTGGTGGTTTATGCAGAGAGGCAGGTTAGGAGGAGGCTGGTCCCTACCAAACGGAATCAGGAATCAGATTGATCTGAGTCCTGAGTCCTCAATGCCTTTCTCCTGCCAAGTTCAGCTTGCATGTTTCTTCTAGGAATAGAGAACAGCTGAACTCATCGGACGCTCTCATAGCAAGTGTCCTATTTCTTCCATTTAGTTTTGAAGGCTTAATACAAGCTAGCTCCAACAGTTAGTTCTGGATATGACCCTCGTGATGGAAGAGAACGCAGACACTAAACTAATGCAGAGTGAAACAAAGTGTGAAGATCAGGGATGCAGATGACTTCTTGGCAAAATATAAAATGCCAAAGTTGGCCCAAGAAGTGGAAACCTGGAATATAAACCAATTAGCACAGATTAAATACAAGCACTTGCATTGGATGGCTTCATATCAAGAGTTCTACATAACATTTTTTTAAAAAACCAGGGACTGGAGAGATGGCTCAGTGGTTAAGAGCACTGACTCCCCTTGCAGAGGACCCAAGTTTGATTCCTAGCACCCACATGACTGCTGACAACCAT